GTCAGAGAAGTTTCTACCAGAGACGCAATGTGAATTTAGATCAGGTTGGAACACCACAGACATGATTTACTTTTGTGAGACAGATTCCAGAAAAATGCATTCAACAAAACATGGGACTGTATGCTGTCGTCATTGATCTTAAAATAAGTTTGAAACTGATCAGTAATGGACTCTGGAAAATTCAAGAAAAGAGTTTGACTGCCCCACCAAATTAATTATCTTCATACGTCAATTCTATGAAGACATGTCTGGTCAAGTACCCTCTGATGGTGGCTTCTCTAAATCACTCCCCATATCTAATGGGGTGAAACAAGGCTGCAAGCTGGCACCAGCCCTTTTTGGTCTCTTTTTTGCAGCTATTCTGATTTATGCAACCAACAACCGTCAAAAGGGTGTCTACATAAGGTACAATCTCCAAAGGCTTACTGCTAAGACAAATGTTCTTGAGAAACTCATGCATGAAGCCTTTTTTGCAGATGAATGTGCTCTATTTAAACAGAGTAAAACATGATCTACAACTTATCCCTGATAGGTTCTCAGAGGCCACTGTAGTAGAGAGAGAGAGAGAGAGCTTGGTGCAAGATCTGAGGCCTAAACCAGAGGCTGTGAACCAACGTCAGGCTATGAATTAAAGCAGATGCTTTACAAGCTCACTGTCCAGTACATGAACATGGCAATGTTTCTGCTAGCATTGCTAAAAGTACCAGGCACTAGATATTTATATAAATACATTCCAGAAGGCCAGTATAAATACATCCCAATCTAGCACAAAATAAGATGCTTTGATAGAATAATGAAGAGGGACGTTTTGTCCAAGATATCAGAAATAAGAACATAAGAACAGCCATACTGGGTCAGACCAAGGTCCATCTAGCCCAGTATCCAGTCTTCTGACAGTGGCCAATGCCAGGTGCCCCAGAGGGAACGAAAAGAATAAGTAATCATCAAATGATCAATCCCCTGTCACCCATTCCCAGCTTCTGGCAAACAGAGGCTAGGGACACCATCCCTGAATAAGGCACAAGAGGAGGTAACAAACAGATGTCATGAAATACGTAAGGTGGTAGGTAAGTTGTGTATCCCAGTTGTTTGTCTCAGTCTATAAAAATTGGGGTACCTCACCTTAACCCTTTGTGTGTCCAAGGGGACAATGGAGACTCCCACTCCTGACTGAGCCGCTTCTTGCTGCAGGGCACCCATGTGTTAATGTACTTGTGCAAGTTTTGTGAGTTGTTAGGACTGTGCCTTGAGGGCAATAAACCTGGCCAAGTGCCTTTGTCATTCAACCATGCCTGTGGTCCTTCTCTCTGAGTAACATTGAGGTCTGCTGAATTAGCAGGCTGCACTCTCCGCTAGTGCTGATAACATCAGAGTTCCAAGGACAGAAGCACTGAGCAGCTGTAACAGCTTAGCAGCCTTGACAGCATCAGCAACAACACTCCACCCTTCAGCAACTAAACAATTTAGACTCACCATCATCCTGGAAAAAGCCGAAGTCCTCTTTCACACAGCTCCGTCTACTACAACTATTGAGCAAAACATCACCATTGATGATGCAGCACTAACAAGCATCAATCACTTTCCATGCTTGAGTAGCACCATCTCAAATTATTGTACCCTGGATAAAGAAATACCAGATAGAATATAAAAGGCCAGCCAGACCCTCAGAAGACTTTGTCATTGGATACTCAACCAGCACACCATCAGACAACGGAACTGATTATGGATAATACAGCAGTGATAGTGTCCCTTTCATATAGATGTGAAACATGGACAGGTTACCACAGATACATTAAGCAACTTTAAAAATTA